CATACATACATACATACATACAGACATACATACATACATACATAGATACATACATACATACATACATACCAAGGAGTGGGTTCATGCCCATGCAGTGGCAAATTGTTACACCCCCTAGGTTTAGGAGCTTATTTTCAGTTTGTATGGGCTGAGTAAGGCTCTTGAAGACAGGACATTTAGGAGATCCTCATTTCATTAGATCATCATAAGTTGAAGATGACATAACAACAATAGAATCAAAGCCTGGTTTTCCAAACCTAGTAATGGGTCTGATGGTCCATCAGTATGCTCAGAATGCAGCAGAATTCATGTGTACCCTGAGGGGGGGGATACAGTGTAAAATTTGACATCTGGAAAAGGGAGATGGGGCAAATTCTAGCAGTTGGGAACCAGGAGGGTGAGCTGAAGGGTTTATATTTAGAAATTGCTCTGAACAGTAGTTTGAAAGGTTTTCAAAGTACGGCAGGGTGTCTGGAAAAAGCAACCCCCAATGGAATGAATTAAAATGATGAAGAATCTTAATTGTTATTCAGTCCTTTAACATAGTTGCTATGTAATTATTTAAATAATATCTTTTTAATTATTGTTAAAATAATATACAGATCATGGGTATTAATTTTGATGAATTATTTTGATGCCTTAGCATGGCTGACAAAGTAGGAAAAGCTGGAAGAAATAGCTTTATTGCTAACATTTAACTGAAGTAGGGAAATGGGGATGGCAACATCTGGGTGGATGCATTTTCTCAGCTACATTTTTTCCTAATTATTCTTATGCTTAATTACTCAAACTGTGTTGGAATCTCCCACTCCCAAATAGAAATCTCATCACAACTATTGTTGTTTGTTAAGTGTGTTGTGTGTTCAACCTTGATCTGATACTTTGATTTCTGTCTCACACCTAAATTGTCTTGCCGTGTTAGCCCGTATAATTAGCTGGCTGGGTTAGTTTTTAAAAATCACAGAGAATAAAGAGCTGGTTTTGTAGATGCAGTCATAAACATAAAGGCAGTAACAGTCGTAGGGAACAGATCAGGAGTTATTGGTAGACTGGCATAGAGAGGATTATAGTAGTCCATGTGCATGATTAATATTCTAGAGCTTTTGCCAGGTGAGAGAGAAGAAGGGCTGTCATAGTAATTTTGGGGGGCCCAGTACCCCTGGATCTTGAGCTCATCATATGCCTGAAAAAATGGCTCAGAAATCCCCTTTAGGAGACAGAGAGCTAGTTTGCCACAATTTGAGGACCTTCTACCATCTGTGGGGTCCCCATGGCCCTTAAATCTTTTTTTTAAATGTTTTTTTAAAAAAACCTGGACAGTGAAGGATACAAAGGTTTATATTAGTTAAATGTATTTTAGTTTTTCAGTTAACAAAAAAATATTCTAGTGACATTTGCCAAAAAAAAAGAATTAAAAATAATTATATAAATTAATCTGCTTTGGCAACACTCCTCCTATTTACACCCATGCCCACAGCTAGAACTGTGATCCGTGAGCTGCTGATAAACCTGAGAAATGGCCCTTAGCGCTGCTGAAATCACCTATGCTACCCACCCATGCTGGAAAGGGAGAAAGAGGACAGCTTGACAACTGACTGAATGTGGAACAAGAAAGAAGGAGAAGAGGAGAAGGGAACCAAAAAGAAATGCAAGGCCACGTGCCTGTTTAAAATGGTGATTGACTAATTCTTAAAGGAGAATGAACTTTTGATAAAACACATGGATCCAGGGATCTTGTCCAAAATTCCATTGTTCAGTGGAGTGAAACAGAGCTGTGATATATCTCCTACGTTATTCAATTTCTACATCAATGTATCAAAAATCTAACAAATCCTGATTTTCAGCCTCCTACATTGTCTACCCACCCTCTCTCAATTCTTTTATATGCCAACGATGTAGTATTGTTGTCTCTAACTTATGTTGGCTTAGGACAACTTTTAAGGGCTCTCTTATTTTCTCTTCTTATTCTCTTATTTTAACAAAGAGCAACTAACTGTTAACTACTCAAAAACTAAGGTGTTGGTTGTTAGCAGAAGGAGAATCAAGCACAAATAGTCCATCAATGGGAATTGCATAGAGCAGTTGTCAAGTTATAAATATTTAGGCATAGTCTTTCATTCCTCTAGATCCTGGCTCTCCCACATAAAATACACAGCAGTGGATGCGCAGAAAAGTGCTACTGCACTAAATAGATTTTTTTTATACTAAAAGGGGGGCAACATGTTCCATCAGTGATCCAAGCATTTAAGGCTGAAGTAATTGCACAAATCCTCCATGGTTCCCAATTATTTGCATATTTCCATCTGCACCCCTTGAGTTTGTCCAGTCCAAATTTCTGAGAGCTAAACTAGCAGTGTCTCCTTGTGTCCCTAACACAGCTCTATGCCTAGAGGCAGGTTTAGTCTCCATCAGAGTGTGTGTCAAGGTTTCCATGTTCAACCGCTGGCTAAAGCTTATCTTCTTCCCACAAGATTTGGCACCATTGACTCTTTCCGATACCGTCTAATCGGAATGGAAGTGTCACCTGACAAACGAAGCACTGCTAATTGGTCTTTCCCCAAATACCCTTATAGTGATGGATTATGCAATTGTCAAGCAAAGGATTTGGGACATAGAACTTCAAGAACATTTAGGTTCACTGGACCAATCTAGTGTTGTAAAAAAAAAAAACGGCTTTATACTTCCCACCAATTTGACCAGTATAACATCACCTAAATCTAGAAGAGATTTTACTTTAGCCAGATTTAATGTTTTGCTTTCTAATCACTTGTAAAGGAGACTTCAGGGCATATCCTATTCTGATTGTTTATGTCCTTGCAATGGTGGTGAAGTCGCAACAGTGGGACATGTTCTTTTATAGTATATCACAGGAGTACACCCCCTCACTTTTCATAAATATGAATGCAGTGAGTATACAGCTTGTATAACAGTGTAAATGTGCTGTCCCCTCTAATGACGCAACACACAGCCATTAATGTCTAAACCACTGGCAATAAAAGTGAGTACACACCTAAGTGACAATGTCCAAATTGGGCCCAAGTAGCTATTTTCCCTCCCTGGTGTCATGAGACCTGTTAGTGTCGCAAGTCTCAGGTGTGAAGGGGGAGCAGGTTTTATCACTCTCACTCTCTCAGACTGGTCACTGGAATTTCCACATGGCATCTCATGGTAATGAACTATCTGAAGATCTGAAATAATGAATTGTTGCTCTATACAAAAATGGCCTAGGCTACTAGAAGATTGCCAAAACCCTGAAACAGAGCTGCAGCAAGGTGGCCAAGACCATACAGCAGTTTAACAGGACAGGTTCCACTCAGAACAGGCATCACCATGGTCGACCAAAGAAGTTGAGTGCCCGTGCTCAGCGTCATATCCAGAGGTTGGCTTTGGGAAATAGACGTACGAGCGCTGCCAGCATTGCTGCAGAGGCTGAAGGGATGGGGTGGGTGTCAGCCTGTCAGTGCTCAGACCATAAGCCACACACTGTATCAAATTGGTCTCCAGGGTTGTCATCCCAGAAGGAAGCCTCTTCTAAAGATGATGCACAAGAAAGCCCACATATAGTTTGCTGCAGATAAGCAGACTAAGGACATGGATTTCTGGAACCATGTCCTGTGGTCTGCTGAGACCAAGATAAACTTATTTGGTTCAGATGGTGTCAAGC